TACCATCTGCTCATGGACCCCTACAACATATTTACCTTTGCCCGATGTCATATCCGAAAACGATCACTTCACTCCTTCCAGCTTTGCTCATATGCAGCTGGTTTTTGCAAGCATTTCGCGAGTCTTCAGCACGCGATCGATGCGATTGACGCGTTAACACTCATACGTTACTCTGGATATAAATGCGCATATCTGAACCAACCAAATACGAATATGCTGTTGATGGTAAAGTTTAAGCTGGATTAGCTTTCTTTTTCTTATATGCCACGTACCAGGCATAGCATATGTTTTTTAATGTAGTCCTTGGGCCTCAAAATCTAAGCGCACATGGAAAGGCATTCATATAATTATTTTCGTTTATTTAACTGATATCTAGAGGTTATTGTTTTTTTTTTCTAGTGGTGCAGAGGCTGATAAACATGTATATTCACAATGCGTAGCAAAAAGAAAAGAAACTAAATAATGCAGAATTCAGATTTTGAAAAACTCAGTGTACACTATTTTTTCATTTGCTTGATGTTGCTTGATTGATATGTAGGGTTGAATGTTCCAAAACCACCATGTGATTATGAGAGACGCCGTATTGGAGGACTCCGGAAATTTTGACCACCTTGAGTTTTTTAGCATGCTCCCAATTCTGAGCACACTGGCCTACAACCTCTCCACCTTCATCGGAAATGCAGCCGCCGCAGCCTGGATTTGATTCTGCGACCTGCGGGTCAGCAGCTGATTACCTTAGCTTCTAGACCACCACGGCAGGGTCATTCGCTTAATGTCCGGAAGCCGCTTATGAATGCTATGTCAAACAAAAGTTTATTACGCAGAGTGTCTACTCATTCAGAAGGTCGCAATTGATTTGACAGGTTGAATGTTTAATAGGCCTACTTTAAGCCTGACGGCTGACTCCATTCTGTGCGATAAGGTTTACAAGATAATTTGAAAGGTATTGCTTCCTACAGCATCTGGGCCCCGCCATCCGGCCTGTACGCATAGGTAACTGTGCACGTGTTTACATGTTGTACAACTATTTTGTCCTGACATTGTCGTTGCAATTTATTTTAGTATGGTGCTCTTAGGGCCGTTTCATGCGCTAACCACACAGCAGCAACGCACGTGCTGGCACACCTGCCGCACCCAAGCGAAGGGTGAAAGAGGGTTACCAATGGCCTTATTTGTCCCCCGCTTGCGTACGGCAGGGATCCCGGTACGTGCGTCGCGGTTGTGCGGGTAGCGCATGAAACGGCCCTTAGACCTAGGTTTTCATTCCATGCGCATTGCTACTCTATAGCCTATATGCAATCTCTTTAACTTTAAAGTTATTTATTGTGCTAGGTTAACGTGTAGTACCGATTCTTTCAGATACGCAAAATGCATGACGTATCAAGCAAAAGTTTTTTCTAAAACTATTTTGCTAATAGATATAAGCGGTAATTTATAATATCATGATCTGTATCTGCCAAACTTAGTTTTACTTGATTGCCATTTGTTTGCTTGTTTATTTATTTACAAATTTATTTACAAGTACTGCTGTTTTGAACTCGAGGCATAGTAGGAGTAGCCACAGATTTTTGTACGAACAGATTTGAGATGTGATATGCTTACATAGCTGTTCAACAATGCCTTTTACAGGGGTGGTGCAGATGTTCGTGGGAACAAACAATGATATAGAACAGACTTGAAAGATGACAGGGTTTGGTAGTTGCTCACTAGCTCTTGATAAATCAAATTACGAAAGAAACCATTCACGTTGTTCTTATTTTCAACTGTCATTAAAAAAATAAAAAATAAACAGTAAACATTCTGCGAGTAATCATGTTTAGGGTGTGGGTTTGTATAGTGGCACGGGCAGTAGCGGATATAGAAAAAAATGGGCGCCCTAGCAGCCAATGATGCGTGGTTAGTCTTGTACAGCAAAATATGTTTCGCGTATATGGGCATACGGCAACCACACCCACAGACCGGCCTTTTGATATTGAATTACCAATAAACGAAGTCAGAATTGCGTTGCTTTCCTGTAGAGGATAAATGCTTAACGTGAGATTAAGCCCGATTAGGGTTGGTCCTCGACCCTAGACATGGTACCAAAACAAACGGTAACAATCAAGCGCCATTTGCTGACCCATCGTAAAGTGTTCTATTATCGGCCTTCGAAAACACTCGCCAACAAAATCTTTTGCTTTAACGTGTCTTCAGTCTACGTAAATAAAATTTCACCAATCACCATTCGTTACTGTACCACGCTCTCGCCTGTGGCACTTCAGAAGCGCCCGATCAGGCTGATGTGTAGCGTGCTTTATGTGCCCGCATCCAGCAATGCAGTGCTGTGGTAAGCCCCTTCGGGGTTCGGAATGGCCCACAGCCCGCGTGTCGCATCCATCAATTATGCACAACCTAGCTAGGACGGTCAGGCTCATCGCATCAATCATGGTGCAGCAAGAAAAGAAAGTGCTCTCTGTACGGGGGGGGGGGGGGGTACGGGGCTGGCCAACACCGGTTTATCCGCCCTTTATTTTTGGCTTACCCGTCTTGGGCGGCCGTGTCTAGACTGACGTGTAACAGGAGCATGATTCCCGCTGGGTTTAATAATGTGTGCGGTCGCAATCGAATGGGCAACGACTATGGTTGAGTACACGAGCGCAGCCGGGATCACTGTATACACCCCTCTCCCTGTCGTCATCTTCTGATTTTCGTGCAACGGGCACCAAGAGAACAGTGTTCTCTAGCTGGAACTACCGAGGTGCACGCATCTCGTTCCTACACGGCGCGTAGTAGTTCCCGATTCCACGTCTTCTAAGCCTATATGGGTGGGTATAGTGGCTTCTAGCTAAGTTTATGTTTGCCGCATTCGAGGGTCCCATCGTATTTTGAGACCCGCAGTTATCATGGCAATACAGACAGCACAACCTAAGCTCCAATGTCGACATTGAAGGTAATATAAACACGTACGTGGATTTAATGAGACCTGTATTATAATAAGTAAGTTGACATACAATGCAGATGTATGGTGATCAGCTGTGACAGGTCCTATATATACAACATTGGCTCTTGCATGTCCAACGCGCATGCTCGATAACCAACCTTGGTATGTAGTGTACACAAATAAATAGAGCGTAGGGGCATGTAGAGATAAGAAGTCCAGGGAGTAGCAAAAAGCGACAACCTGCAGGTACTTAGTTATTCAACCTAGGTCTCACTGAGAAGTAAGGAAGCATGTCTGTAAGCAAGAAAAATGTTCAGCCCATACGGGTGACCAAGGCGCTATCTTTTCTTGTGTTTTGTTTTCGCTTTTTTGTGTCAATTATATTTGTTCATCAGTGTTGGGCACACGTTTGTATCCCAGTGCGCCTGTAGTCGAATTGTGCATATGCGTAAAAAATACTGCCACATTTTTTAGTCTTTGAGCTTATCGTGAGGAAAAAGAAAACTCGCGTTGCTCACTCTTTCATTAGTGCGCAAAGATCACCGATTGAAAAAACTTACCCAGGTAAACAGCGTGCTTGCAGAGAAAGTTTACACAGTCCTTTGCGATATTCTGACGAAATAGACAACGCTTCCGTTCACAAGCTGCTGTTCACTCAAGCCTTTAAGGAAGATAATGGCGCGCTTGTTGCTTTGCCATAAAGCTTAGGAAGCGGGTGTACATCTTGAAAAAATGCGCCAATAAAATAAGAGAAACCTTTCTGCTACGTATGCGACAATGGTAATTAATGCAAATGGGACAGTGTTCTGTATACATTTAGTGACGAATAGAATGAGTAGAAATAAACCAAGCGCACGCATGTGCTGATCCTACAAGGCACTTCGCTAGGCGCGATTCTCTGTTTCCTTCACTTCTCCAGCTGCCTTTTCTCTACACTTTTTGGGCTCATCCTGTACATCACCACAGAGGTTTCATGAGGAAGCAGTGGTAACTTGTTGATCTCGTAAATTTCTACTGTTATTCCAAGATGCTTAGTGGGGCAACGTGTACAGACAGTATTGCTACTTTCCTTCATTTTCTTCTTCAAAATACTTTTTTGTGAACTTTATCTAGTTGTGTTGGCAATTCAACGCAAAAAAATGATGTGAACGTCTTCTCTAGCTGATATTCATTAACAATAACATCATTTGTCTCTTTTTGTAATTAGAATGCAATTTTACGCTACAATTTCAAAATCGATATGGGTGTTTTTATGGCATCGTGAGGAATGAATAATTTAGGGCTAGAAGATTACTTTAAGCCATTGTTGGTACCCAAAGCGGCAAAATATTGTCCCGGGGTTGTGACATCGCTGAAGAGAGCACTCTGCAGGTCGAAAATAAAACTGTTTATTTGGGCTGGGCCTGTGGCTAAGAAACTGAAAGTCAGAAAACAGCAATGCGCGGGCACTGGTAGCGGAGAACAGAGCGTCAACCGGTGATCAACCGACAAGCGGTGATGAATGTCGACATTTCATACACGTGCCGTCAAATATTCTAGCGCTATAGCTAGCGGCCACGTGGGTTCCAGAATAATCTGTAACGTTCTAAGAGTAGGCGTATTTTTATCGAAACAATATACTAGACTACCGAAGCTTCTCGCATAGTGCATGGCGTGGCTTGCGCTGAGAACTACGTATAGTGTAACAGGTAATAACCAAATTTGTAGAGGAGACTTGGCATTCCCCTCTCTGAAAAGACATCGTCCTGATGCTTTATTAGAAGATGAAAGTAAAATAAAATGCAAAACATTACCAACAATAAATTACAATAGCAAAAACAAAAACAAAATAAACTCTTTCAGTTCATTAACTTGCATGAAACGGCTTGAGGCGCGTGACATGGACGACATCAGGTCGCGATCAGCGCCGTTGAGAGTTCGTGTTGCAGTCAAGGACAACCTCGTAGTCTAGTGGGCCGACACGTCGTAATACTCGTTATGGTCCGAAGTATCGTCGCAGAGCTTTTTCACTGAGTCCACTTCGTCGTATCGGCGTTCATACCCAAACATGTTTACCGGGCTGGTAATGAACGGAGCATCGTCAAAGATTCTGATGGCGGTGGTCTGTCGTCTGCTGATTTGTGATGCGCAGGCGGGCGAGTTGTCGAGCTTCTTCAGCCCGCTGAAAATAGAGGGCGACGTTGAGGTTCTCTTCGTCAGCGACGTTGGGGAGCATTGCATCCAGCGTCGTTGTCGGGTTCCTTCCGTAGAAGAACTTGTATGGTGGCATTTCCGTCATCTTCTGCATGGCCGTGTCGTATTCCAAGGTCACGTATGAAAGTACGGCGTCCCACGTCTTGTGTTCAACGTCGACGTTTACGGCCAGCATTTCGGCGATTGTCTTGTTTAGCCAGTCGTTGGCACCATCTATCTGTGGGTGGTAGGCGGTGGTGCGGCGGTGGCTTATCTCGCTATGTCTTAAGGTCACCTGAGTCAAATCAGCATTAAAGTCTGTACATCTGTCGGTGATGAGAACGCCTGGGGCGCCATGACCATGGATGATGTTCTCAAAGTAGAACTTGGCTACCTCTTTGGAGAGCCTTTGTTTCTTGAGAGGGCCTATGTTTCGGCGTAGCGGTTTAGGTAGTCAGTACTATGACGATTCATTTGTTTCCGGAATTTGATGTCAGTAATGGCCCCAGTAGGTGCACCCGGATTTGTTGGAATGGTCAGCGAGGTCGTTCGATCAGCTGAAGAAAGCCCGCTGGCCTTGTCGGCAGTTTTTTGCGCCGCTGGCAGTCTCGGCAGGTTTTTAAATAGTGGGTTACGTCAGCACGAGGCGAGTCCTGCAGTACTTTTTCGTATCCTCGCCAGCATATGGGAAAATTAAAGGCATGTAGACATCGAATCATCATGCAGAGCACCCAGAAGTTCTGAACGTAACGCCGAAGGTAATATTACGAGGTAGTTGCCCTTATGTAGCGAGTTTTTATTTATGAAAATGCCGTTCCACAAAAAAAACGAGGACAGTTCTCGCTTGAATACCTTTGGAATGATGACAGCTTTGCTCTTTAATATTCCACTGTGAACTTCATTTCAGGGTCAGCTCTCTGACCTTCCGCAAAGTCTCAACGCTTAAAGTTCCTGAAAATTAGTCAGTGTCCTCGTCATTCTGCGGTGATGGGTCAACAGGGGCACGGGATAGGCAGTCGACGTCAGAGTACTTTCGTCTGGGCTTGTAAAGAACGGTAACGTCGAATTTACGAAGTCACATACTCTACCGTGCGAAGCGACCTGAAGGGTCCCTCAAGTTATCTAGCCTACAGAGGGCGTGGTGATTGCTCATAACGTTGAAAGGCATGGCGTACAGGTAGGGGTGAATCTTGGAAGTATCCGAGATGATGGCTAGGCAGTATGTTTCTGTTGTGAACTAGTTGCATTCTACCTTCGATAGCAACCGGCTAGCATGAGTGATGAGTGATAACCCTTTATTCTCTGTTAGTCATCTGCACGAGAACAGCGCCGAGGCCTGCGCTGCTTGCGTCGATGTGGATCTCCGTATCGGCGTATTCGTCGAAAGGCGCAAGTATGGGAGGGGTTTGCAGGCGTCGTTTCAGTTTTTGAGATGCTTCAATTTGTGCTGTCCCCTACATTAAATCGAAGTTGGTACATGTGAGCTGCGTTAGTAGGTAAGCGATTTGGGAAAAGTCTTTGACGAAGCCTGTCTCATAGGCTCACAAGCCGAGAAATTGGCACATGGCCTTCTTGTCGGTGAGTGGCGGGATGGCTGCGATAGCAGCTGTTTTTTGAGGGTCTGAGTGCACTCCCGTCTTGCTCATCACGTGACCCTAAACAGGAACTCGTTGTACACGAAGCGGGATTTCTTTAGCTTTAGGGTGAGTCCAGAGCTCCTGATCGCTTGAAGTACAGATTCAAGGCGCTAGAGGTGTTCGTCTAAGCTAGAGGAAAACACAATGGCGTCGTCCAAGTAAAGGAGGAAAATATGTCAATTTAAGCCAGCCAGGACGGTATCCAGGACTCGTTGGAAAGTTCCAGGTGCCGAGCAAAGACCAAAGCGAACTGGAAAAGGCCGTCCGGTGTAACGAAGGCAGTCTTTTCTCGGTCCCTCTCGTCGACTTCGATTTTTCAATAACCGGTCTTGAGGCCCATCGAAGAAACGTACCTTGCATTGTGGAGTCGATCTTGGGCGTCATCTATTCGTGAGAGCGGGTACACCTCCTTCTTCGTGATATTGTTCAGGTGGCAATAGTCGTCTTCACTAACACCAACGGTGACAACCATAGACTCTTTCATGGCTGGATGATGTTGTCGTGCAGCATTTAGTCGACTTCTTTTTTATATGGCGTCCCGTTCTCGCGTAAAAATTCTGTTGGCTCTCACGGAGTGGCCTGGCCCTTTCTTTTTTTACGATTCGATGTTTCCTCACAGGGGTTTGTCGAATTCTTGACGACGACGTAAAACAGTTCTTGTTTTTTAGGAGCAGGTTTCTGAGCTGTTGGAAGGCTCGGAATAACGTCAAAAATGTCTGAAGAAATTAAGTTGTCGTAGGGGGTTCAGTATACTCGACGAAGGCGATAATTTTGCTGGCTTCCAGTATTTTTGCGAAGTAGGCAATTGTCATGCCTTTGCTCACGTGCTTACACTCGTTGGTGAAGCTAGTGAGCATCACTCTTGCGTTCCCTCCTCGAAGCTCGGCTATTCCTCTAATTACGCGAATTTCACGGCTAATCAACAGTTCTGCGTCGCCTTCAATGATGTCTTGTATGTCTTCTAATTTTTTATATTTATACTCATATGTGGAGTTTCATGCCCCAAAACCACACTATGATTATGAGAGACGCCGCATTGGAGGGCTCAGAATATTTCGACCACCTGGGGTTCTTTAACGTGCACCCGAATCTGAGCACATGGGCCTACGACATTTCCGCCTTCATTGTAAATGCAGCCACCACAGCCGCGATTTGATCCCGTGATGTGCGCGCAAGCAGCCGTGTACCTTAGCCACAATACCACCACAGTGGGGCCTCTTGATTGTTGAGTGTTGACGGTAATGCCGACGCCAGAGCGAGGAGAATGGTGACGTGGTCTTTCAGCTCATTCAAAGCGTGTCTTCCTGATGATGTGTGTGGCTGCAGTGTTTTTCTGTGGATAGCATTATTGACTCAGACCTCGGGTTAATAATAGTGTCGTGGTGACTTAGGAAGACCATCCCCAGTATCACATTCCTGGAGCAACGTTGTAGAATTCCAAAGCTCTTAGGATAGGTTCGGTTATTGAGTGTGAGTGTTGCTGTTTGAACACGTGCCGGCAGAACAAGGTAATCTGCCGCAGTACCAATTTCAGAGCCTTCCTAGGCGGTCCTTACTTTCTTCAGTTTGGCCGCGAACGGCCCGCTGATGACGGAAGGGTCGGCTCTGGTGTTGACGAGAGCCGTGATGTTGTGGCCATCGATGAGGCTTTGAGGTGCTATTTTCTCGCCTCACATTGCAGTTGGGTCAGGGCGTCGGATCACGGCTACGATGGTTTGTACCGCTGCTTCGACGTTGCGTCGTCAGATCTTCTGATGGGTTTGAAGTATTGACGGAAGGTTGTTGAGACCTTGTCGCATTGTCGTCGTAGGCGGTGGTGGAGGATATTCGGCAGTTTTTCGTACGGCGACCGCACCTCCATCGGTTGCTGCCCTTAGTTTACCGGGTAAAGGCTTGGAGATTCACCCCAAGTAGGGCTGGCGTTTCTGCGATACGCTGATTGATTGATTTGTGGGGTTTAACGTCCCAAAACCACCATATGATTATGAGAGACGCCGTAGTGGAGGGCTCCGGAAATTTAGACCACCTGGGGTTCTTTAACGTGCACCCAAATCTGAGCACATGGGCCTACAACATTTCCGCCTCCATCGGAAATGCAGCCGCCGAAGCCGGGAATTGAACCCGCGACCGGCGGGTCAGCAGCCGAGTACCTTAGCCACTAGACCACCGCGGCGGGGCAATGCGATACGCTGAGGCGTGCCGGCGAGGCGACGGCAAACGGTAACGTCGTCAGGGTGTCCTCTGTGCCCCTCTACCTGCGCCTTGCTAGCTGTTCGGCGTTGGCGTCGGCGCCTTCTTTGACGCTTGGACTAGGTTCGCGACTTGACGGGGGTGTCCGGAACATGAATGATGCAGCCCATCCACCAGATGTCGCAGGAGTGTGACGTTGCCGAAGAGAGCAGACTGCAGGTCGAAGATACAACTGTTTATTTGGGCTGAACCTGTGGCCTGCACACTGAAAGTAGGAATACAGCAACGCGCGGGCACTGGTAGCGGCGAAACTAGCGTCAGCTGGTGACCATCTGACAAGCGGTGATGCGCGTCGGCATATTAAACACGTGTCGTCGAATATTTCAGCGTTATTGGTAGTGGTCACGTAGGTTCAAGAATAATCTCTAAATTTGTGGAAGTGGGCGTACTCTTATTGAAATGATCTACTGCAGTCCCAAAGCTTCTCTAACAGTGCACGCGCGGCTTGCGCTCAGAAATACATACAGTGTAACGAGTGATAACGAAACTTGTGGAAGGGACATGACAATGTGATTTCGAGGCATGTTAAAGCAGCTGAATGCAGATTAGGTCTGACCCGTTGGAGTTTTTAATTTCTACTTTATGTTGCAGGCCTATGCTCTCAGATTAGGGCGCACATTAAAGAACCCCAGGTCGTCGTAATTTCCGGAGCTCTCAACTACGGCATCTCTCATAATCATTTCGTGGTTTTGGGACGCTAAACCTTACATACCAATCAATGAATAATTCATACTTTATTCTAAGAACACAAGTGCATAAATACTTTGTCTCAACACGGCCTCAGTGGAGCATTATAAAACTCGCAACTTGGTGTTTAGCAGGGCTCTGCCATAGAACGAGAAAGAGAGAAGCCCGGAAGACAGAAGTGAATAATGAAACCCACGTTCTCTTTGCTACGGTGCTATCAACGTGTACAGTAAGGCCAGTTGGTTTGCGTAAATGCTGTGAAACTGCATACGGGCGAACAAACATACGGACAGTGGAGAGACACACAACACCAAGTTTAAACTAAACTATGTAGTACGTAAGTCTGCCCTTTCGTAATTGAGGAGCCACTGGTGCCTAAGGGCATGAATACTCGACCAGTAGGGCCACAGATAATCAGAACTGGCAAAGCCACACGTGCAGGCAGTACTCTGGGATACTTGCAAATCCCGTCACTAGCTATACGAAGTGAGGATGGCAGCCAACCTAATTAGATCCGATCTCCCGTAACTCAACAAAACGCTGGTGTAAGAGAACGTTCAAGTATACTCTTGGCACCGATTTTTTTTGTAGAGAGTGCAGCCTGTAGAAAACATATTGAAGATGGAGCTTGGAGGCCAGGAAGAAAAAGTGGCCAGGGGCACGCTCTGTATATTTTTTTTTCATTTTTGTTCTGTGAACAATAAACAAAAGACGTATGGGATCTGCGGTCTCTCTGGTCCTTCTGAAACATGGTGCCGTGACCAGAATATCTGAGCACAGACGCAAAGACTTCAATCCCATTCGCAACAACGGGTTGAAGAACGAAGCAGCGGCACCTAGCTCAAGGACGAACCGTCGAGGGAAGGACCACGACCGACGACTGTTGGCGACGCACATAAACAGGCAAGAGCTCTTTCAACACGTTTGAAGCATGAATAAAAAGGTCCTATCGAAGAAGCGGAAGACGTTTCGAGCGAATGTGACAACGCTTACGAGTGAAATTGATAAGAAGGTAGAAGAAGACGCCGATCGAGCGCAACTTATGACGCTTCTAAACCAGATGAAGAGCGTGTCACAGATGCTATGACAAGTTAACGAACAGATCGAACCGTTCATTAAAGAAGACCACGCGGAGGCAGAACTTGAAATAGTTTTGCGGTATGAGATGAAGATCGTCACCGCAACGACAAAAATAGAGTAACAATTACGTGAGTTAGAACAAGCGACGCAACTGACTACCAGAATACTCACAAAACAGGCGAGCTCAGTGCAAGGTACTAACCAACTCTCGCAGACGCAAGAGCTTGTCAAGTTGCCACGTCTTGAGATGATCAAGTTTGATGGAAAAAAACAGCATGGCCAAGGTTTCGGCATCAGTTTGAGACATCGGTGCATAACATAGTAAACATGCCGAAGAATAAAAAAATTAATTATCCTCTGGCATCTCAGAGCAGGGAGGCTGCGTCCCTCATAGAAGGTTTGCAGTTTTCTGATCAGAATTACGAGCGTGCAGTCGCTATTCTGAAAGAAACCTTCAGACGACAAGATAATTCAAGAGAGACCTACGTAAAAGATCTAGTAAACGTGGAAGCAGTGAAGAGTCCAAAAGATTTAGATAGGTTGAAGAAACCCTTACAAAGGTTGCAAGTGAACACACGAGCAATGCATTCGTTAGGAGTGGAAATGGGTAGTTACCCCACAGTGATAGCTGCTGTTGTAAAGTCTGCGCTACCGGTGAATATGAGGATTGAGATGAAGATGAAGAAGATAGAGAAAGGTGGCAACAGACCCCTAATTACGGAATGGGACTCAGCGTAAAGAGACAGCACGGGGAGTTTGAAAGAAAAATATAGAGTTTTTAAAAATACATATACGCAGCAGAGAAGAAACTTCAGAGGAAAAACACGACATAACCCAGTCACCACACAATATGAGGTGGACTATAACATCTACGCTTCAAAGCACTTCAATAAAAAATGCATCTTCTGTTATTTGACTGGACATTACACGGAAAATTGCAGAAGTATTACTACGCAACAGAATGACGAAGCCTTGCAACGGGAGCGAAAGTGCTTCAAATGCACCAGACCTTGCCACACGGCGAAGATATGCCACGCTAACGTACGCTAAGAAAGATGCAAGGGAAGGTACGCGACATCCATGTGTCGACCACGTACGCCTGTAGGAACGCCAGCACAGCAGCAAAGCGGTGATGATGTTGAGCAAGTACGTAAAAGTGCACAACCTGACCGCTTAGACACCAGCAAGTCCTGCAGCACGCATGCACAACAGTCTGGTGAACACAAGTGCATACTACTGCAGACAGCCTTTCCGTAGACGGAGGGAGAAGGCAGCGGGTGCCACGCACGGATTCTGCTGGACAATGGGAGCCAGAGGACATTCATCCTCAAAAGACTGTCAAAAAAACTCGCATGCAAGGTAAACAG